CCCATAGCAGCATAGTGCCTGGCTTCAAGTCCTGGCCTCACTTCAAGACCAGCTTCTTGCTAATGCACACCATGGGAGGCAGCAGGCGCTGGCCCAAGCAGTTGGGTCCCTGACAGAGCTAAACCCAGTTCTTGGCTCCTGGCTTTGGCCTGGTCCAGCCCCAGCTATTGTAATTAGGGAGTTAACCAATAGATGAAAGTCATATTCTCTCCCTCTCTCTCTCTGTCGCTCTCTCTCTTTCTCTCTCTCTTTTCACATTCTCACTTCTTCCCCCTCTCCCTCCCTCCCACTTCCTCTCACTCTGCCTTCCAAACACACAAAAATTCTTTAAAAATAGTTAAATTATAAATATATGTGGAAATTCTAAAAGAAAATAATATTTTAAGAAATATCCCAGTTAATTTTGAGCCCTATGGCTTTAATTCAAATTAGAAGGTTTGTTTGTTTGCTTGCAAAACTGACTAGCTGATCATTAATTGGATTTTGTTAGGAGTCATGGCTCATTTTATTTATTACTATTTATTGACTGCATTTAATGGGCTTCACTCAGAAATGTACAATGAGAAATAAAAATAAAAATCAGATACTATTCCCTTCTCCCAGGGGAATTCAAAAGCTTGCCAAAGGAACTAAAGTCAATCCCTGGAGCAAGGACAATTTCTTCAACAAACAGTCCTGTGAAAACTGGATGTCCACATGCAGAAGTATGTAACAAGACCCCTACCTTACACCTTACACAAAAACCTACTCAAAAACTGAACAAAGACCTACATCTATAATCTAATCTTTTTTTTTTTTTTTTTTTTTTGACAGGCAGAGTGGACAGTGAGAGAGAGAGAGACAGAGAGAAAGGTCTTCCTTTGCCATTGGTTCACCCTCCAATGGCCGCCGCGGCCAGCGCGCTGCTGCCGGCGCACCGCACTGATTCGATGGCAGGAGCCAGGTGCTTCTCCTGGTCTCCCATGGGGTGCAGGGCCCAAGGACTTGGGCCATCCTCCACTGCACTCCCGGGCCACAGCAGAGAGCTGGCCTGGAAGAGGGGCAACCGGGACAGAATCCGGCGCCCCAACCGGGACTAGAACCTGGTGTGCCAGCGCCGAAAGGCAGAGGATTAGCCTAGTGAGCCACAGCACCAGCCCTACATCTGCAATCTAATACCATCAAATCATTAAAAAACATTGGGGAAACCCTGTAAGACATTGGCATAGGCAAAGACTTCTTGGAAAAGACCCCAGAAGCAAATCAAAGCCAAAATTGACAAAAAGGATTGTATCAAGTTGAAAAGTTTGTGCACTGGAAAAGAACACATTGAGAAGCTTCTGCACTCAGCAATGTGAAGAGGCAAACAACAGAATGGGAGAAAATATTTGAAAGCTATGGATTGATAAAGCATAAATATCCAGAATCTATAAAGAGCTCAAGAAAGTCAACAACAACAGAACAGTCAGTCAAGTGAAGAAAGGGGCAAAGGACTTGAATAGGCATTTTTCAAAAAAGGAAATTCAAATGGCCACTAGACCCATTAAAAAATGCTCAGGATCACTAGCCATCAGGGAAATGCAAATCAAAACCACAGTGAGATTTCACCTCACCATAGTTAGACTGGTTCTCATACAGAATCAACAAACAACAAATGCTAGTGAAGATGTGGAGGTAAAGGTAACCTAATCCATTGTTGATAGGAATGTAAACTGGTGCAGCCATTGTGGAAGACAGTATGGAGATACCTCAGAAACCTGAAAGTAGATGTACATATGACTCAGTCATCCCACTCCTGGGAATTTACCCAAACAAAATGAAATCATCAGATGAAACAACCAGAATCTATAAAGAGCTCAAGAAATTCAACAACAACAAAATAAAAAATTCAGTTAAGAAATTGGCCAAGGGTTTTAACAGTCATTTTTAAGAGAAGAAATTCAAATGGCTAACAGACACTTGAAAAAATGTTTAGGATCACTAGCCATGCGGGAAATGCAAATCAAAACCACAATGAGGTTTTACCTCACTCCAGTTAGAAAGGCCCTCATACAGAAATCAACAAACAATAAATGCTGGCAAGGATGTGGGGAAAAAGGTACCCTAAATCACTGTTGGTAGGCATGCAAACTGGTGTTCTTACTGTGGAAGATAGTATGGAGATACTTTCAATAGTCCTCACGTCTCATCTTGCCATTTGACTGCTAATTAACTGCAAAATTGTGCTGACAACTGTTTTCCATGGCAGAGGATAAAGTAGTAGTAATCTCAAGAAGCATTTATTGAGCATAAACTTGATAGATAATAAAAATACTTAATTTTTTATTAAGGGTATACTAGGTTATAGACTATGTTAAGTGCTTTTCTATGTAACGTTTAGTTAACATCTTATACAACATATAAGAGATAAGTACAATTATAATCCCATTTTACAAGTGAAAAACTGAGGTTTTAGGAAAACTAGAAAAATTTTTCTTAAAGCACAGAGCTGGAGAATGATAGAGAGAGGGCACAAATCCTGCCTGCTGGAAATAAAATTTTCTGCTATTCACTATAAATTAGTCTGCCTAAAAAGTATTCAGGATAAGAAAGAACATAATACACTTAAAATATTGTATAAGTATGGATGTTTCTCCAAAAACTAGAAAAAAATTTGACATATGATCCAGCAATCCCACTACTGGGTATATACCCAAAAGGTAAGAACAGGTTGCATCAGAAAGATACCTGCAACACCATGTTTATAACACTGTTACAATAGGTAAAATATGGAATCAAACAAGGAGTCCATCATCAGATGAATGGACAGAGAAACTGTGATATAAATATACAATGCAACATAATTCAGCTATAAAAAAAGAAAGAAATTCTACCATTTGCAACAAAATGAATAGAACTGGAGGACATCAGGTCAAGTGAAATTAGCTGGATACTGAAAGAGAAATACCTCATATTTTCCCATATAGGTGGGAGCTAAAATTTAAAATGAAAAAAAAAATCAACAAAAGAAGAAATGTTTGTGCACTCAGTATTCCTGAAAATAGTTTTGTCAAGCTTTGCTTTAAAAATATTTTATAATTTTAAAACTTTGTTAATTATAAACATAACAAACTGTTTATAATCCACCCAAAGACTGGGAAGAGGGAAGGGATTCAGATTTGTTGAGGCAATCACTTCTTGGCCTTTTGGCTAAGATCAAGTGAAGATTTGTTGAGAGGCTGATGTTGTGGCATAGCGGGTAAAGCCACCGCCTGTAACAGCAGTATCCCAGCTGGGCATGGGTTCTAGTCCAGCTACTTCACTTCTGATCCAGCTCCCTAATGGCCTTGGAAAGCAGCAGAAGATGACCCACATGTTTAGGCCCTGCCACCAATGTGGGAGACCCGGATGAGTCTCCTGGCTCCTTATTTCAGCCTGGCCCAGAACTGGCCATTGAAGCCATTTAGGGAGTGAACCAGTGGATGGAAGATTCTCTCTCTCTCTCCCTCCCTCTCTCTCTCTCTCATTCTGACTTTCAATAAAATAAATACATCTTTGAAAACAAAACAAAACAAAGATGTGTTAGGCACCTGCCATTGCCCTTTGCCATATCTAAACCAAAAGCCTTTCTTCTGTGTAAACCACCCACCTTTGCTTCCTTGCTGCACATTGAAGAATATTAATGTGGAGCTGGCATGGGTAGCATCTAGGGTACTATAGGGTACTATGAAGACCAGATTTTGTACAGATGATGCTGGGACTCCAAAAAAGTGGTTGGTTTCCAATTCAGGAATAGGCCATGATGAAAGCAGTTGTTCTAGATTGGTTAGGAAATAAGGAATCAATGCCCATGAAACTTAAGGATATAGAGCTCTCTGTGTGCCCAAGCCTAACTCAGTAGAAGTCTTCAATGGAACTTGGGGTTAAGTCCTAGTTAATATGTGTTATTTTGCCTGATCTCACTTCCTTTTTCTTGTATCTTCCTCAGGGATTTTAATGGAAGAAATAGCTGCATTCAGGAATCCCTTGGGCCATAGTCTAGTAACATTAATACAATTTTTAAAGATTCATTCATTTATTTGAAAGGCAAAATTACATACAGAGACAGAGAAAGAGGGAATAGGGGAGAGATCTTCCAGGCTGAAGCTAGGAGCCAGGACTTTCTTCTCAGTCTCCTGCATGGGTTTTTTGGGTCCAAACCCTTGGGCTATCCTCCACTGCTTTCCAGGGCACATTAGCAGGGAGTTGGATCAGAAGTGTAGCAGCCTGTACCCAAATCAGCACCCATATGGGATGCCGCTACTACAGGCCTTAGCTATAACCCACTGAGCCACAGTGCTGACCCCCAGAAGACTGTTATATATACCCAAAACTTAACCTCTCTTTGCTGACTACTTATGTGTACTCGAGTGATTGTAGGTGTAGTCTAGAGTTAAGAGAATATCACCTGTTTTAAATCCTGATATAACAATGTTCTGAGTATATAACCTTGAGCAAGGCACTCAATTTTTCTATGCCACAATGATCAAATGCATAAAATGGTAGTGATCACAAAATGGGGTCATGGTAGGGACTGGAAGTCATACATGATAGGGACTGGAAGGCTTAACACTGAAATGCTTATACTAGTGCCTGACATACATTTAACACTTGAGGTACAAGAGTATTTGCCCATCACACTGCACAAAACTTTCACCTGTAATAGCTAATTTGCTAGAAGTTCTAATTAATTCCCTACCTGCATCAACTCATTGGTCCCTATGTTGCTGAAATAGTCAATATATTCTACAAAAGACTACCTCTGTTTCATTGTATTACATATGAATTATTTGCATTTCTCATTTCTCTACCTTTGTTCTTTTTTACATATGTAAAGATTATTCACCTATATTTCCCATGATTTATAGGTGATTCCCACGCTCATGGTCAAAAAATTTTCAGCACTTACTTTTTTCATTTTATCTTCACAAACACTGTACAAGGAATGTGTAATTATCCTCATTTTGTGAGGAAGGAAAATATATGTCCATTTCCATCATCAAGACTCAGGCCAAAACTGTGCTACTTCCAAAGTTACTAATTACAAGGTGCTTACCTGGAACACAAACATGATGTCAAAGAGAGGCTCAGTGAGGGGGCAAAGTTGTAAGCATGACTTTAAAGGGACAGCAGGAAAGGAGAGAGGTTTGGTCAAGTGACAGATTAATGATAGCTTTGCCTAAGTACATGTAGTTTGAAAATAAAAAGTAGCAGCAAATATTTACTACAAAATAGGGAGTACTTATGTAAGCAATGGTGGATTGTTGTAAAGCAATAGGAGATACAGTTAGACTACAAATGGGCCACTTTGTGGAAAACTATAAAAACTAAATGAGATATCTTGTAATGAGCAAAAAACAACTTTTTCTTTTTTAGTGGTTCCTTAACATTATCTTTCTTCTACTGTTGTGTTTATTCCCCTTGGCATCATGGCAATTCTCATGTATCCCTCAAATTTAATTTGAAATGCTTTCTCCTGTATGAGGTCTTTTCCAGTGTCTCCAGGAAGTTTGCTCCCATAGTACTTAACTGGGACAGTGCAGTACTTCTTCAAATAATCTAATGATTTATTACCTACTTGTACTGATTTGTGAAAACACTGGAAGACAGGAAATGTGTTATATGTGTTTTTGGATCCCTAGCATTCATCTTGGTGTCTAACACACAGCAGGCACTTAATGGATGCTTGCTGCTTGAATGAATAAATGAATGGTTCTAAAGAGAGAAATGACAATAAAATGAGTGTCTGATAAAAATACAAAGACTACACTGGAGTAGGAGACTCTTAGAGGCAGTCAAATTGTTTATCTCATAGGATGAGTTAGCAGTTTGAGTCAGACAATATATTAGAAGTAGCCTCTTCTATGCTGAGGCTGAATGAATCATTGTATTCATACAAGAAATGCTTAATCCTGTGACCCTGATTCTCTAGTATTATCCAACCAAAAATCAATGATGTGAAAACATTACTTCAGTTTGAATAGCTTTGTCAAATCAGGCAAATATGATTTAATCTGAATCAAACATTATGAAGCAAAAATTCTTCAGCATAGCTTTTGTAATGAGGCTTACGCACATATGAGTCAATAGGAGAACTCAAATAATGTTAGAACTGCTCAAATATTTTGGATAGTTTCTTGGTAGACATAGTTTAGATAAATAATTAGAATTTACCATGGAAAAATCCATTATATTTGAAATAAACAAATAAAACTATCCTACCATGGTAAGATCATAGGTTCCCAAATCCAATTTTTTTCTGTCTTGCTTATCTGCTAATGTGCCATGACATATAGTATTCTTTGGCTGAAAAAAAAGGAAAATAATTACATTGGAATTATTCTTAACTGTCCTCAGGAAACGGAAAATTTTAAATGTGCCAAACAATTAAGATTCTTCATGGCACCTAATAAATTGTCCTGAATGAAACTGTATCTATCATACCTGGTAAAATCATGGCAGCTCCCTTCCTGAAGAATGAGTCAGTTAATAACAACAGATTGAATGTGGATTTAAGTTAAATTAAACATTAATGTTAAAATATATTTTCTTTAAAATGATTACATTTATGAAATCGTCCAGTTTTATAGGGTAAAAAAAGGGTCATTTAACTGATTTGTTCAATTGCTCAATGAATACCATCAGCTGCAGGCAAACTCCATTAGCAGAATATCTCTACCAGAATGAAACACAAATCCAATGAACACTTATATGCAACATTTCGAAAGTCAGGCTCCAGGCTGATGGAAGCTACTTCAATGATTGCCTCTCATTAAATGTTCAGAGGAAAACAGAACTGATATGCCACTCCAAATGAGCAACTCTTTCAAGGGTTATACAGTGTAGGAGATTGTCTTAAACATTTCATTTTTATAAATAAATTAAGGTAATAATCAATGGGATAACTCAATCATAACAAATGGTGGAGTTAGAAACGTGCCAAGGGATCCAAATACAATCCCATCAAGGTGGCATGTATCAATGCCATCTCACTAGTCCAAGTGATCAATTTCAGTTCACAATTAATCACACTGATAGGTCTAAGACTCAAAGGGATCACACAAACAAGACTAGTGTCTGCTAATACTAACTGATAGAATGATCCAACATGGGAAGCGGCATACACAGCAGACTCATAGAATGGCAGATGTCCTAAACAGCACTCTGGCCTCAGAATCAGCCCTTAAGGCATGCGGATCTGGTTGAAGAGCCCATGAGAGTATTTTAGGTATGGAAAGCCAAGACACTCTGAAAAAAAAAAAAAAAAATAAGAAGAAGAAGACCTAAATGAAAGATCTCTGTGAATGAGATCACAGTGGAAAGAATGGGGCCATCAAAGAAGGAGGTACCTTTCTCTGAAGGGAGGAGAGAACTTCCACTTTGACTATGACCCTGTCAGAATAGGATCGAAGTCGGCAAACTCAAAGGGCTTCCATAGCCTTGGCAACTCATGACTAGAGCCTAAGGAGATTACTGACGCCTTAAACAGGAGTGTCAAATTCTTAAGTCAACAACAGGAGTCACTGTGTACTTACTCCTCACGTGGGATCTGTCCTTAATGTGTTGTCCAATGTGAAGTAATGCTATAACTAGTACTGAAACAGTATTTTACACTTTGTGTTTCTGTGTGGGTGCAAACTGATGAAATCTTTACTTAACATATACTAAATCGATCTTCTGTATATAAAGATAATTGAAAATGAATCTTGATTTGAATGGAATGGGAGAGGGAGTGGAAGATGGGAGGGGTGCAGGTGGGAGGGAAGTTATTGGGGCGGGGAAGCCATTGTAATCCATAAACTGTACTTTGGAACTTTATATATACTAAATAAAAGTTAAAAAAAGAAAGAAAATAATAACATAAGTCAATGAAGAAAGATTACCAGTAAATGCATAAATAAATATATAGAGAATACATATTCTAGAATTTGTATACAAATAAAAAGAGAACTCACATTGCTAATAACAGAACTAATGAATTCCATAAGACTTTCTAATCTCTGTATTGCTCCCAAAGATTAAGTAATCCAAATCGATTTTTGTTTTATTCAAGTGGTATCATGTTTAATAAAAATACTGTCAAATCTGATTCTTAAATTATGTGTTTATTGGTGGAAGTTATCCAACATATTTCAAGGAATATCATTTTAATAAGTTTTCCATTTGGAAGATTTAACCAAAATCTTTTTTAGGTCATTTCAATAATTTAACCCAATTGGTATGAAAAACAAGAGTAAAAATTACTTAGCTCATATATAAAGAGTTGCCAAATCGTGACTCAATGACAGAGTTAGTTTATGGCATGGTCTTTTAAAAATAACCTACTTTTTTCATAGTCAATAGAAAGAAATGGAGAACATAGTGACCTCTGAAAAAACCTAGGGAAGGAATGGGAAAGGAAAGTGTAGACAACGGAAGAGAGTGGTAAGATAGGAAGTGAGAATCAACAAAGAAAAAGATAACTCTGTAAGTAAATATTAATCACAAAAGGAGAAATACCACACCAGAGCAATCAGGATGTTCCCCCTTTACCTCCTGGAAACTCCTGCATTTTATATATGACATTATTATGCCAGCTAAAATATCCAAAGATTTTACAGCTCTCTCCACCCTATATACTTTGCTCTTCCCATTTTTCATTAATATCCATTAGATTATTTCCCTGCCAGTGGGTCCATAATGTATTTCTCATGCCTACAAAAAATATGCCAATAAAAAAAAGGTTCTCAGAACACTTGGGTCATCATAATGACAGCTATGGATTCATCCTTGCACCTTCCATTTCCATTGAGTGACGGTCAGCAGAAATGACTCAGACCAGATCAAGTAGACATCATGGGGAAGCATGCGCAACTTAGGGGAAGAAAATCTGTAGGATAGTTGGTTTTTGTTGCATTACATTTCAACTACTAGATACATGACCTGTCCTCTACTGTGCTTTTTGCCATAGAATGTTGACTTTTACAGACCACATCACTCAGGCAGTTCTCTTTCATTTTGCCTTGACTAATGAGAGTGGCCTGGAGGAAAACTGGAAGTATTGCTGCCTCCCCACCTACTTTATCACCCTACTGCTTATCCAATGATCATAGTCACTATCATAGAAGAACACCACCATGGCTGCAAGCTGTCTCCCAGCTCCTATAAAACATTCTCTCCTCTTGCCCCTTCAAGCCTATGGGCAGTAATGGCTTCCCCTGTAGCTAGTGCCTGATACTTCAATTGTCTTGGACAATTTGTCTACTCTGACCATACCATAGTAATTGTCCTCTCATGAAATTCTCCTCAGGTAAATCCTTCAAGTGTGCCATCTCTTTACTGTTCAGCTAATATAGCCTAGAGAGAATCCAGCAACCCACAACACAGCCCTATCCACATTAGCTCTAGGGCAGCAAGAGTACAGAATGGCAAGAAGAACCAGTCCGTCTGTAAGGGCAGAACTGCAAGTGATCAATAAGTAAGCAGCATCCCACCTTCTTTCACTGACCACGATCCATCTACCCCAGAAATTTGTCATAAATAACTGAAAATATCCCCACCACATAGTCTATATGTCACAAAGAAAAGGATCCCACTAATAAAATCCAAAGTAATAGTGATAGATATTTTAAACAAATACAAATATTACCCAAAACATGGCAATATTTCAATTATGATCTAATATACTTATATCTTTTTTTGAAATATTAAAGCTATTATGACTCTAGATTTTTTTTGTTCATTTCTGCTTCCTTGATTATATCTCTCTCTCTCATCAGGCAGAAGCTGTGTGTGCATTTTGTTTGTTTAAAAAAAAGATTTATTTATTTGAAAGAGCATCAGAAAGGGAGAGAGGGAGAGAAAGAGAGAGGCCTTCCAGCCACTGGTTCTCTCTCCAGTGAAAACAGCTAGATCTGAACTAGGCCAAAGCCAGTAGCCAGGAACCCCATCCTAGTCTCCCACATGAGTGGTTGGGGCCCAAGCACTTAGGCAATCCTCTAATGCTTTCCTAGGAGCATTGTCAGAGAGTTGTATGGGAAGCAGAGAAGTGGAGATTCAAACCAGCACTCTGATTGGGACTGCCAGCATTCAGTGACTTAATCTGCTATACCACAAGCCTGGCCCCCATGTTTGTATTCTTGATTGTGTATTCCCAATGCCCAAGTAGAGCCCCCAGCATAGAGCAGTCACTTAAACAACAGCTGTGAATAAAGTGTGTTTTCTTAAGAACCCATTGTGCACTAAGCACTCTAAGTAAAGCTCTTGTGGATTTCATAGTCAAGAGGAAAATCAATAAAGGTATATAATTGCAAAATGATTTGATCAATTATATGTTTTTGGTAAAAAAAAATAATATTTCTGTGCCATAACCCCACATCATTGTCCTCCCCACCCAATGAATCATGTAGTTTGCTATTACCATTTACAGATGAGGAAATAATTTTAGAGTTAGTAAGCAATTCATGTAATTAAGTTAGCTTAATTACATGTGATAAAGTTATGATTTGAGTCCATATTTATCATACACCTTACAGTCTATGTTTCATGGAAGCTGAGTACTAATTAATTGAACTAATATTTATGTGAGTGCTCTTTGAAGACCACATACATGGTTCCTATTCTAGGAACTTAGCTTATTGCAGTGAACAAAGGAAGAAAAGTCTTTTCTTTCATTCAGTTGACATTCAAAGTTATAAAGATGAACAACAAAACAAATCAATAAGATATATAATAAAATATCTGAGTCATTTTTAAGATAATTAAGACAGAGTAAGGGGAAAGGAAGAATGATGGGATTGCAATTCTAAATGTGGTGGTCAGGGAAGACCACTCAGAGCTGGACAGCTGATAGGTCATTTTATATCACTGGACACATCAGAGAACGGTGCACCTTCCTGCAGGTACTCATATCCCTGCCCTGGCTGTCAGTGCGGCTCTCTGTTTATGTGGCAACCACTCCAGTCTGGGTTCTCATTTACTCACATATGGCTTACCACAAGAGTTTTCTGATTTGTCTCTCTACCTTTAGTCTCCTCCTCTCATAATCTCCCCTGCCCTCTGCTATGAGATTCATTTTAATTAATCTGACCTAGTGAGCAAAGTAGAGGTTGGATTTCAGCCTTTTATCATTCAATTGTAGCTCTCTGTAGGGTTCAACTGAATGTAGTGGCCTGTTTGAAGAGAGGATATTTGATCAAAAGCCTAAATGAGATGAAGAAATGAAATGGGAAGGGCATTAAAAAAATCTCTAAGACTGGTGCATGTTTAACACATTGCAGGTACCAGGAACTGTGCACACTGATAGAGTAAGACAGAGGAAAGTAGTA